GCAATATTTGTTCTTAAAAATTCTTAGTATAAATTTTAAATATATTTATTAATTAATACATATTTATTAAACAAGCAGAAAATGGCCACCTCTAAAGAGTTTGATGAAAAGGGTGTGCCAGATGAACAAGTGCTTTTATGATAAACATTGTAGCACAACTTTTTAGCTTTTAATTTGATTAAAAATAAAAATTTTACAACTTCTGAATCTCTTAATCATCTTGAAAAGTTACAAATTAAAAGCGAACAAATAAAAAAGAACAAAAACAAAAACCTTAGGAATTCTTTATGGAGAATTTCTTATAGAAGTAAAGACTAGAGCTAATTTGCCATTTCATTAGTGAAACAACAGGAAACCTCTATTCTGCATTTTTATGTGTATGCTTGTATTGAGGGATGAATATTAAGAAAAAGAGATAAAAACATAGTAATGGCATCCTATACCTGATATATACCGCCTATACCTGAAATACTTAACATATGGTGGTTATTCTTACTGTATTATAATTCTCTCATATATAACTGTCCTACTAGATTCTGACCACCATGAGGATAGGGAAATGATTGTATTAATCTTTGTTTCCCAATACTACGATTCCCGGAATATCCTATCCAGTGTTCCTTAATAGCTAAGGAAGGAAGCAAGAAAAGAGACTGGCATCTATATCTACCCTTTCTCTTATCTCCTACTTAGTTAGGATGAAACTAACCAATCATCACACTGGAGTGGAAGAGTCTCATGATATATCGAGTTAAGAAATAAAAGCAGTACAGAATTTCAGTATACAGAGCATACAGAGTAGTAGAAAAGGGGCGATTGTAGAAGTCACTGTATAATATGAATTCCAAATACCATCTAGCATATGAGAAGAACTTTTAAAGAGGAAATGAAAAACTATACATATTAAATAGTGATAACAATAAAATATTACCAGGGCGTGACATTGACTCTACTGCAATGACTCTGATAAAAATCTTGAAGATTAACTCAAAGTACCCACCATATCACTTGTGAACTTAAACAAGGGACCATCAACATCACATATATACTTAAAAGAAATACCTGGACCAACATACCCACTATCTCCTTCCAGTGAATACAGCTTCCTTTAACCCTACTTAATGGCCTACTACATTTTTAAAAAAGATTTTATTTACTTATTTTTAGAGAGAGGAGAAGGGAGGGAGAAAAAGAGGGAGGGAAACATCAATGTGTGGTTGCCTCTCACATGCCCCCAACTGGGGACCTGGCTGACAACCCAGACATGTGTCCTGACTCAAACCAGTGACCCTTTGGTTTGTAAGCCAGTGCTCAATCCATGAGCCATACCAGCCAGGGCTGGCCTACTACATTTTTAACATAAGCTGGTTTTCTTTTAACAAAAATAAATTTAACAAATTTGGTTTATATATGAAATGGTTGGTTTCACTTGACACAGATGAAATAGCAAATAAAAGGAAAGTAAAAGTTTGATGATTATTTCTAGTCAAGTGTGAATGCCTCAGGAAAAAACCAATCATGATGTTATGAAATAACAGATTCATAAATTTTCCTTATGTTCATGACTTTACATATTTGTAAAAAGAGAGGCAAACTATGTCAACCCCTGGGCACAGGAACTGATTGTGGCTGCGGGATGGAAGAAAAAAAATCCTACTTTCAAGACCCAGAGACACTGAGCCATCTTAGGATAAGGTTAAACTAGAGCAATAAGAGAACATCACCCCATTACCACTACCCACCACCAGGCTAGCAAACATCAAATAACAGGCAAGAACACTACTGCTGGAAGAAAGGCAACAAGAGTGTAGAGAGAGAGACATCCCCTGAAGCTTCAGTCTCAAATAAATACCAGAGGAACTGAACCTTGTGGTACATTGAGGGTAACCACTGCAACATGAAAATCAAAATCCAGATCAACTCACCACTATATATCCCAAGCCCCACACTAATGACCTAACATAAGAAAAGGTAAGCCCACTTTGAGATATAAATACTTTTATCTGAGTCCTACATATATCACTTTTAAACAAATATTATGACACACAGAAAAGGGCTGAGGTTAAGGGGGGTGTGGAATGTTCTATCAGGAGAGTAAAAATGTTAGCAGAACCAGATTGAGATACAACCCACCTGCTGGAAGTACTGGGTGGAAATTTGAAATTACTAAAATTAATATGTTAAATGCTTTGGTAGGAAAGGAGGACAACATTCAATGCAAATGCTAGAAAATGAAACAAAAAAACCACGACATAGATGAAAATGCCTTTGATGGGCCTATCGGCAGACCTGACACAACTGAAAATTAAATTAATAGACAATATATGAATTACCCAAACTGAAACACAAAGAAAAAAATTGTGTGTGCTGGGGGTTGGGGGAGTGAAAACCACAGAACAGGCACCTAAGAACAAGTACTAACATCAAATGACATAACACATGTGAAACTGAAACCCCAGAAAAAGTTTAAAGCACCAATCAGGATAAATGCAAAAAATAAATACATACAAAAATAGATAAACATAAATAAACAAGTGAACAAACCAAACTTAATCATATCATGTTCAAACTAATAAAGAATAAAGAGAAAATAAAGATAAAATCTTGAGGACAACCAAAAATGTGACATATTGTATACATACATAGAAACAAAGATAAAATTAAATTAAGACATCTTGTCAGAAAATATGCAAGCCAAGAGACAATGATTTTTTAAACTGCTGAAAGAAACAAAACTGTCAACCCTTCTATACTCACAAAAAAATCTTTCAAAAATGAAAAAAATATTTTTAATGATATAAGCATGGAAGAATTATCAGTAAATGTATACAAAATAGAGCAAAGGAAGTTCCTTAAGGCCAAAAGAATATGATACTACACGGAAAAGAAGTGCCACATAAAGAAATGGAGGACAATGGAAATGGTAGAAATGAAGGTATAGGTAATATTATTTTTAAGTTTTTAATTGCTCTAAAAATAACTGACTGCCCTGGCTGGTGTGGCTCAGTGGATTCAGCACCAGACTGTGAAGCAAAGGGTCGCCGGTTTGATTCCCAGTCAGGGCACATGCCTGGGTTGAGGGCCAGGTCCCCAGTGGGGGGTGGGCAAGAGGCAACCACACACTGATGTTTCTCTTCCTCTCTTTCTCCTTCCCCTTCCCTCTCTCTAAAAGTGTGTAAGTAAAATCTTTAAAAAAAAATTGACTAAAGCAAAAACAGTAACACTGTATTCTGCCTCTGTAAATTATGGAAAGAAAAAAAAGAACACAAAAACTACCAGTATCAAGAATGAAAGAGAGGTTTAATCACTGCAGAACCCACAGACATTTAAAGGAATAATGGAGTACCACAAACAACTCTATACACATCTCAGATTAAGTACCAATTCCTTAAAAACCACAAACTACTGAAACTACTCAAGAATAAACAGAGGACCAATATATCCTGTATCTATCAGAGAAGTTTATTTATAGTTAAAAAGCTTTCAAACAAAAGAAAACTTTCTGTGGTATAATAAAAAGCCACTTGGAAGAAAGCTGCTACTTCTGCCTAGGTTTCACTTACTGTATAAGACAGAAATGCTATTCAAAAGATAAATGCTGAACCTGCCTGACTTTATTATACTTAGAAAAAAATATTAAGCTGTATTTAAAAAATTAACATCAAGAAAGTAAGTACTTGAGCGAAATTAATTCTAAATTTAGAAATTAGAAATTTCTCACCCATTAGACTGCCCAATAAATAACATTTATATACTGAGGTGACCAAAAAGTCCATTTTGTTTTTTCTATAAAATAAAAGACACATTTTTCATTTTCACCAATAACTTTATTGTTTTGGATATTTTGAGTATTTGACTCTCTCCCACATGGCACAATGTTGATTGTTTTCAATATCTAGATTTGATTGCTATCAACTTCAAATTGTCTACCTGACCATGGAGCATCGTCCAGTCAGAAATCTAACATGGAACTTCGTAAACCACTTTTGACACATTCAATAATCAGTCACAGCACCTTCTCCACACACTGCATAAATCTTTTTTGCATTTCAGTTGCGTCTTTACCTTCCTCGAATAACACAGCACAATATGCCAAAAATGTTGCGTATTTTCTTCCACCTTCAATATTATAATGGCTACACAAAAATTCACTAATTTTGATAAGCTTTTAAAAATATGCACACTGATATGACAGCTGTCACAATACAATCTAACAAAATTGTTTTGAATGAAGTTAAAGACAACTAAGCACTACTACAGCCATGTTATGGAAAAAAAACAACTTTTTGGCCAACTCAATAATAATCTTGAGTATAATATTTATAGTGCCTATTTTATTTTTAAGATTTTATTTACCTGTTTTTAGAGAAAGGGAAAGGGAGGGAGAAAAAGAGGGAGAGAAACATTAATGTGAGAGAGAAACATGGATTGACTGCACCTCCTACCAGGGACTGAACCCGCCAACCCAGGCATGTGCCACCAACTGGAATGGAACTGGAAACATTTTGTTTTGCCTGATGATGCCCAACCGAGACACACCAGTTTAGGGTCACAATGTTTGTTTAAGATAGCTAAAGTGTAGTAACTATATATCCAAAATATTTCCACTTAAAAAATTAGTTGAATCTTTGACAGTCTAAATGCCTCTGCAAATTATATCATATGGAAAGGTTACTTTTCCAAGGTACCAAATGTTTGAGGTTTTACTGATTTCAGAATTTTTAAGTCAATTAAATTTATTTTCATTACTCACTAGACGAACTAAATCCAGGCCAGTGAAATACATAATGTCTCTGTCAAAATAAAACCACCCTGCAATTTTACTTAGGATTAGATATTTTTATAGCCAATAAACATAAAATCCAAAATCTCAATTTATTTCTTGATAACATGCCAATAATTACTGATGTATACATTGAATTAAAATATTTTCAAAAAACCACACCAACAATATTTTCTACTATATAAACCTTTAAGGTATAAAATAAGACAAAATTTACCTCAGACACCGGTTTTTGTTCCTTAGTGGGAGGAGCTTCACTTTTTAATCTTGAAAACAAAATAGGTATTGAATATTTTATAATTACAATGGAAAAATATTATACAGTTCTTCTTGCATGCTTAAAATAATTAAAATATAAATTTAAATAATGTACATTTTATACTATAATAGTAAATGACATCTGTAAATTTGTTAAAAAAACAAAATGCATTTAATAAAAATAATAAACAGCAGATTCAATAAATGTGCTTAACAAATAAATAGATATGTATTTCCTTTTCTAAATATGTGAGCACTTAAGAAATGTTTCAATGCTAAGTACAATTTAAACAGCGATGGACAAAGGCTTGACTTGGGGTGATATAAACACACAATACAATGTATATGTGTTGTAGAATTGTGCCCTTGAAACCTGGATAATTTTGTTAACCAATGTCACCTCAATAAATTCAATTAAAAATATATATAAAATAAAGTCAACAATATAACACATTGGTAAAAGTTTAAAAAAAACACTCTTTAAAAAATAAAAGTAGGCTATATGGTTAATATATGTAAGATGCAGCAGTACTAACTATAACAGGACTTAAAAACTGACAGAATATATTTTGTCTGTGGTGAAATTCAATATGATAATCCCATTTCAGTATCTATTACAATTAACCTAGAGATGACAAAATCAGAAATTTAGAATTTTGGAGGATATATTCTTTTAAAAATCTTCATAAACATAGTTCAAATATTAACTATACAATTTTTAAACTTCTTGAATTCTAAACTATACTAATTATAACTTATTACATTAACAAAGGCATGTCATTTATAAAATCTTTTTAAAAAATCAATTCAATATAACACCTAGCTTTTCCAAAATATTTTGTTTCAGATGTTGATGACTAAATATTATTTGCTAACATTATATCTATATCTATCTATCTATCTATCTATCTATATATATATATATATTTTTGGCCTCACCTGAGGACATTTTCTCATTCTTTTTAGAGAGAGAGGGAGAGAGCAAAACATTAAGTGAATCTTTCCCATATGTGCCTGGACCAGGGACTGAACCCACAGGCTAGGTATACGCCCTGAACAGAACTGATCCAACAGTTTTCACTTACAGAACAATGCTACAACCAACTGCCCCACACTGGTGAGGGCGCTAATATTATATATTAACCTTAATTTTAATCTACATAATTACAATGCTTACCTGATCTGAAATGCCATTAATACAGAGTTGAGTATTTCATAACATTGTGAAGGTTTAATAGCTATACTTAAGTATTAACACATTTAACATTAGTAACAACTATACTAACTTAAATTTCATAAACAAATGAAAATATATAGGATACAATGTCAACCATGCTAAAAGCTTTTTTCATAGTATTTGAAATATGGAATTGGCAAATGCCCCTCCCTCTTCTTTATCTATTCTCTGAGGGTAAATTTAAAAAATTGTGACTATAAAATACTAACGCCTTATTAAATATTAATAATTTAACTGTATAAAATTACTTATTTACTTGTTATTACTTAAAATTGCAAAAAATTTAAAAGAGCATGTCATGGTTTGCATAAGTACTATATTGGTAGTATATTAAAATAATCAGAACTAATTTACTAAACAAATTAAAATGAATAAAACTTGCATAAAAATTTAAAAAATGCACAAAGTCGATCATTGTTGGTTAAAGATTTGTAATTCTCTCAAGTATTTAATTGTGAATAATATTCATAAAGATGAAATAATGTGAAGTATACAGTACAATGTCACTGTTTTAAAAACTTTACATGGGAAAATAATAGTTTTAAGAATAACATGTGTAAAGTAGTAAGAAAACATGAAAATGAGTCTGATGAAACAAAATGTACATACTGGATTAATGAAGTTTTAAAATAAGCTTGTAAATTGTATTTGGCTTTTATTTCTAAGCATTTAATCACCTTATACTCAGTCTGAAAAACTGAAACAAATTGGTCACAAAACAGATAAAAAAATATTTTATAAAAGCATTTTCCTTTTCAGCCCACTGTTGAAAATATTACCAAAGACCTTGTATTCTTATAAAATATTATCATGCTAACCATTTTCAGATATAGCTATTCTAATAAATTGATTTTACACAGCAATGAAAATGAAAGCTATTAAGCTTGTGCTACTATTATTGCATTTCAACTGGAGAAATTGAGTCTTCATAATATCTCTGCAATAGAAGTTGGTAACAAAGGTTTTTATTACTCTTTATTTACTGGCTAAGAAACTGATAAATGATAATTAAATAATTGAAATAACTAGCATTAAGAGGTCTATCAAGATAGGGATGTCAATTTTGTTTGGACTTTAATCATACTGGTATTGTCTGTAAGGAACAGAACTGTAATAACCAGTGAAAACATTTAAAAAGTGTAAAAAAATTAAACACTATATAAAATTGAATTGAGTTATCACATTTATCACTAAAATGTACACTATGTTTTTATAACTACAAAAGCATACTTTAAGATTAACAAATTATAATATACTATGAATACATTAACTTTTGAAAAAGAAAAAATATTTTTACCTGTAATTCTTATTCATTAAAGATACCTGCTGAAATAGTCATCACCTGAGATACTCAATTTGCTTGGCAGAAGACAGTGAAATTTGCTAAGCTCAAAGTTCTGAGCTAACGACTTGCCATTACACAATTTTACTTTTTACCTTTGAATGTTATAATAGTTTTTCTAGAAAAACATAGTACAGCATTTAAAACAAACACTATTTAAGATTTCAGTGTAAAGAGAGCAGAAGGACTCACTGATAATCAATTTCAAAAACAAACCATTAGAGATCAAGATTGCAAGTAAGTCATTTTTCTTCTGTGTAAAAACCTGCTGAAATAGATTTTTCTGCTATATTTCTTAAGAACAATCCTTTCCCTCTGAAATTTAAAATGAGTAAGTGTTGCTACTTGCATTTTTCTCCAGGTCAGATGACCAATTCATGGATACATGTAAAATGAATATTTTGGGTCAATTACTTTAGTGTGTTCTTTTGAAGATTCATTTACACTATAAACATACCATAGGATGGGGAGAGGAGCTATAGAAGAAAAATGTTCAGATTCATTTCATCCAGGACCCATTCTTTCTTTCCAATAACACTGAAAAGCCAAAAATTTCAATGCTGATTTTCAAAATTTAATTTTCAACCTAAGAATATTTGTACACATACTATAAAAAAGCTGGAAAGAGGCTGTACAACAAGCCAGTAGTAGTAAAGTCATCAGTTCTCAATACCTTCCACTTAGACATTCAGAATAAAATTTAAGACACTAATCATCATACTAATAAATAACAATAAAACATCTAGTGTACCATTACTGATCATATACTGGGTTGCACATATTTTAGGTAGTATGCTAAGAGTTCTAGTCGAAAGTTAAGACACAATCCCTCCTTTCAAGAAGTTCACTGTCAAAGAAACATACTGAAGGAAATGTTTACAGAACTGTGAAAGGTACTAGAAAAAAGACATCTACATGACTCAGTGGCTATATAAAGAAAGGACCAAATCACTGTGAAAGTGAGATGCAAGAAGGCAGTGAAGACACTACAGTGAACTTGGCTTGCACCAAGAGTTACCAAACAGGGGAAGGGGATTCAAGACAGAGCAAAGGCAAAGGAATACAAAATAGGATGGTAATGATATGAAACCCTGAGTGATCTCATACGATTGGTATGCAGGGAACAAGGAAGAATAACTTGAAGACACAATTGAAGAGACAGCAGGAGCTACTTCAGGAAAAGTCTTGACGGCCATGCTAAAATGTTTATGCTAAGAACTTTGTTCTAAGAACTATTAACATAGGAAAGTATGATCAGATTTGTGCAACAGGAAAAGGATGGTATTAGAAAAGGCTCTAGTCAGAGTGCTGATTAGAGACAGTTAATGCCTGTCTGAGGTAAAGCAGCAGCAATGTCATGGAGAAGAGAAAGTTTAGGCAGATGATAAACAAGGTACAACTAACAGAATGTAAGTACCAACTGGATAAATGAAAATGGGAAAGGCAAATATGAGCCTCCGAGTGCCTGCCTTGAGTCAGGGTAATGCTATTAACCAAGACAGAAAGTTCAAGTGGATACAAAATTTTAAAAAAATAAATAAATAAATAATTTAAAATATTTACCATTCAGAGCTGCTCAGTTTTGTACATCTCATCCTTAGGTACAATTCCAACCATCACTTCTATACAAATAACCCCAAAATGATCATCCAGAGCATGACCCCTCCAAGGACAAATAAATATTTTCTTAGATTCAAAGGTCCTAAAGATCTCATATTAAAGAATCTACTTAACCTTAACTTGTACTTCCTAAACTTATTTAACTATGGAAATGTCCCCCCCCAACGACAACTTATAAACTGACATTTGGTCTATAAAACAGCTTGAAAACACTCACTCAGTTACCTCCTTTTATAAAAATGTAATAAATTGTAAGAGTATTTGTAGACAGTTAAATGTGCTGAGGAACAATGTGAACAATTTAATTTTCTCAAGGTCAGAAAGCATCCTTGTTTCTGTTACTAGAGATAAAATATGTGGCATTCTGAATTTATCTTCTCAAAAGAACATGTAGGTATAACCATAATGAATAACAGAATCTCAGAACTCTAGAAGAAGTCAGCATTCACATTTACAAATAGGAAACTAAGGCTCCAAGGACACTACCCTTGGTTTTCCTCCCATAACATTAGCCACTCTTTTTCAGTTTCCTTTGCTAATTCTTCATCTCCCCAACCTTTTATTGTCAGGTGTGCCAGAGCTCACTCAGTCTGTAGACCTTGTACTCTCTCTCTACTGTACACCTTGGGGATCTCATACAGTCCCACGAGTTATGAGTTTTTTTTTTAACTGAATCTTTTTTAATTTTGGGACAATTGTATATGCATATGCAGCTGTAAGAAATACAGAGATTTCGTGTACCTTTATTCAGTTCCCCCAATAACATCTTACAAAATTATACTACAGTATCATAACGAGGATACTGACAG